ATTTACTACCTTTTTCAAATTTTTATATTGTGTGAAATGTGCGAAGTGCGCATATGGCACCCGAAAGTCCACTTGATATTCAATTTAATACTAATCAGTTGTTAGACGATGGCAAGGGCCTTATTAAATATGAAATAGCCTCAGTCCACGACCACTCTAGCTATATTTATTTTTTAATCTTTTTTAAATTTCTCGATTAAGGTGACACGCTCGTACCTACATACTAAACCACTTGACATAATTGTATGTTCTCATGAGACCCAGGCATATAGGCCCCGCTGTTAAGAGGGTGAGAGTCTCACAGTATCATACGAATGCCGCATCCATATGGGCCAGCACTGCATGACGTAATAGTCGTCAAGCTTTTTAAACAAATTGGTATGTCAAAAATGCATAGTCATACCAGTATATCTAATCTACGTGATTGCGCAGCGCGTGTTAACCGAACGAAGCTGATACAGATATATTTATTTTGTTTATATTCGTGAGCAGACCTGCGGCGGACATTTCGATGTCACTCTATAAGAATCTAATCTGGACGCTGAAAATGAAATATGGAGCAGCTCTAGACGATGTTAAAAACATAATTTCTGAGCGCTTATCGTAATCGGGCAATGATCTTTTACGTACGCTTGGAAAACTTCTTTGCACATAAAATATATGGTATTTATCGTTTTGATGCATACGAATTTATTTATCGTTTTCGAGCTGTTTCATGTTTAAGAGCGCCGGAGCACACAATCCCTAGCCTGTACTATTGACTTAAATCACTCATTTGTTTAGCAACGCCAGCTTTTACGCTTTTAAACAGCCAAACATATTATTTCCTTTTGTTAGCGTGACATCTTTAAAAAAACTCTATCCAGAGATAGGATTTCTCGTTACTTAGACTTGCTCGGCGATTTTACACGGATCAAAGCAAGAATGCAAATTAAGGCAAATGCTGGGTTTGCGTCAATATGCATTTTGACTAGGAGTTTTTTTTTTGCTTTATTATTTTCAAAACTGTGGTTATGTATGCTGAACGTATTTACGGACTTTAAGGACTTTCCAAAGGAGCTGACTAATAATGTTGTATTAGTGTTCTCAGCCATGGCTAGTGACGTACACAGTCTGTCTGCTGACCTCTGCCACTCTTAGAAACTTCTGCCCTTCTGAGTTAAATGCGGATGAACCGATCGTTATCGAGACTCGAATGGACAGGTATACGATATCAGTGGTGATTCCGCAAAGGACACAGTAGGAAATCTCCATTTTAGATCTGCGTTATGTCCAGCTAGAACAATAAGTTATCTACGATATTCTTTATCATGTGACACTGAACGGTATCCTATGATTACTACATCCACAGATTTCAATCGAGAATGGGGAAACGGGTTTATTCTCAATATAAGCTGCATATATTGTTATGACTATGCTATCTAAAACGTGTATATCTGTTGCTAGAAGCCGTGGTGAAGTTTTTTTTTCTTGAAAAACCACCTGTTAGTGTTTTTAGACGGGGAAGAAGTGGTTGACCAACTAACAATTTGGAGCCCGATTAAGAGTATTTTTTTTTACTCAAAACTAGACATCGACATTTATTAGAGTATTTATATTTAACCCTGTGCTAACACCTCAAAAACTTGTACAAAAATATGTTTCATTTGCAAGATCCTTATCGTTGTGAGACCTGTTAATTGATGCATAAAAAATGTGCGACAGGAAGTTTTCAATTATATATTGTTATTTCCTCCTAGTTACTCCAAGATTGAAAAAAACGACGGAATATCCAACGGAGCTACATATTGTTTGTACATAGCGACTTCGATAGCATTACGTAGTTCACGCAAACCTACATAACATTTTTATAAAACAGAATTTTGTAAGACTAAACAAAGATTACGAAATACTGAGAAAATGTTAAAAATTCGCTGGGTCGCTCAAATCTATTTAGCGGATTCAAAACAACTTAATGTAAGATATAAGGTAGAACAACAGTATGTTATTATATATTTGATAGATTCTTTTTATAGTTAAAGATACCATCCAGCGTTTTTGGAGCTTCCCAACAGTTATATACTTGACATTTGAAATTCCAGATTTTGAATAGATAGCTTATTTGAGGGAAATGTAGGGTGGCAAAGCCACTTATCGTCTCCTTTAGTGCGTGAAAGTAGCGGACTTACATCTAAAAAATATGGTGGCTGAAGCCGTTGCTCGGTTCTGTTTTCTTAGCTTCAGACCATGATTGAAGCGTGGCGATGAGGTCATGAGTCGTCGTCGAGTAAGCATACTTTGCTCATGCCAACAATTACCGCATCACAGATCCACCATTTCCATGGCACATCTAAAAATGAAATATCTTCCAGCATCGCTGCACTTGTTTGGGACTGTTTCATTTTCGTTGGTTAAACGAATGAAATACATAAATAATTATTCATACTAAGGGGGCACATTGGACATGAAACAAGCACTGTGTAAGATATATTATCCACGTTAATTAAGAAGAATGCATGTACGCTGCACTCATGGAACCACTCGCACATCGATTGTTCGCAATTACTTTTTTTTGTAATGGTTTAAAAACTACGGTACGTTTACTACTAATATTATCAGCTCTGAACTTAGAAGTAGCGGTGCAAATTGTTTTGACCATATTCTGCTTTTCTTCTTCAAGGTTACTGTTTTACTACAATTGTATAATCTAGAGTTCAGTACACAATTGAGCCAACAGAAAACGCATTTTCCATGTTCGTGTTCGCTTCAAACGAAGCTTCGCGGACTGCCTTAGTTTACTTATACCACCTGTGTTTTGAGTTCTATTGCGGTTAGGCGTTCCATTAGACGGCTGGCTCCCAGCACAAAGCGAGGTATGTCCATGCCCGGGTCTGAACCCAACTCACAACGTGTCCCCAACACTAGCGAACAAATATGTGATCTACCAAGCTATCACAGGCACTTAGCTACACCTAGATGAAACTCTAAAATACTTGTGTGGTCTTTAGGTAGACGAATATATTGAATGAGATGGTCATTTTGGCACTATATGAAGGCCTTTAGTTAGAAGCAACTTACAAATGAGATGGTTCTAATAAACTTATTTTACCCATAAAAAAAACGATTAAACTATAGCTATGACAAGTCTGTGAATTAGCTTGAAACCGGTGCTAATTCTTTGGGGGGTTTTATTGAGCCTGGCGTTCTTCACCACTCCGACTCTCTTAGGCTATGTTTTACATATAGTAGAAATAATATCTGCGCTTTTGCTCTCGTTTAATCGACCATAGTCGGTCAAAGCCTTGATATGCAATGGTTTAAAAGAAAAGTGTTTGTTATGTGAAAGGAGAAAAGAAAAGTGATTCTTTACTGTCTTTTCTTATAACGCAACGTTTTCTTTCCATAAAATTTAGCACAACAAAATGTTAGCTTGGTGAACAGCGAATCTTTGGAACTAAGTCAATTTGTTAATATATCAACACAACAATAAGCTTGAAATAGTAATTGTTGAGCACGACACGTTTGATACGCAAGGAAAATGAGCAGCACATGTCTTCGAAGATACACAAATTTGAATTGAATTAAATTTATCATGAGCATACGCTATGTCCTAGTGACAAAATACGTGTCTTCTCTAACTAAAAAGATGTAGCTTTGATCCTAGCATTTTAAACGTACTACGTGTATTTTATTATTAAGAGATCTGTATCTGATTATTGAGAGGATTTTACTGATGGCCTAATAGACCCGTGCGATTCTAGTACCATATTTAAGGCGCTGCCATTAGGGAACACTTTTTTTTTTAGTAAAAAACCTATTGAAATTTGCAATATCGTCGTACGTATAATGAGAAACAACAGCTGTAGTAATTTTAATAGAACTGATGACACTAAAACCAGTTTTTTGACAAATTATAAGGTCAGATATTGTTAGGTTTTCTTTGAATTGAGATATCACAAATTCTATTACTACAAACAGATTTGTGGTATATGCTTGAAAAATGTAGAATAAATCCGTATTCTATTCCACTTCTCGAAACCATATGTTACTGCGTTAATGTATATGAGCAGTTACTAGTTGTGCCTTGTTTGCCAGCAACATCTACGTATATTGTTCAAACGTAACTTTCATCGTAGATTGTCATTCTGTATCGAAATGGATAACACACCTACCTATATTCGTCCATATATTTAGTGCATATTCAACGCTACGATATTTCATCATCTGAAAGTTACACAATGTCTGTACTGAGTGAAAAAGTATCGACAAGTTGCTCGGATTTTATTGGCTATACTGTGGTCGACCCGTGATCAGAGGGGTCATGGGTAAAGTTATATTTGCTTAGGCGCCTACCCTCCACAGGCTAAATTCACAGAGCGTAAAAGCGTGTGCATCGTATTTTTCAGTTGTTCTGTAGAACTAGGTAACATTCGGTCGTGTTGCCTTTAAGAAAAACGGAAGTAGTATTTTATATTATGTTCTGTATTAAAAACAAAAGACCCTTACAGATAGTGCTTGTGCTGCAAAAGGCTTTTAGGAGGTAGGCTGCCAGTTAATCTTTAGTGTACAGGTAGTACTAACGTTTTCGTGACAGATGGAAGAGCTTCGGCAACTGAATATAATAGGACATGAAAATAATTGTCAGGATTGGGCTTTCTTTACAACTCAATTTACCTCTCCATTGCTACATATATAGCTGGCGCCTTGGAGGACGTGAACAGGCATCAACATTGTGTATATTGACGTCTGATCACGCTAACTAAGGACGACAAAATTGAATTTATCATACGGAGTATAAATGTAAAGAAATAAGAAAAATAGTCGATCAGGATACAAACGTTTTTAATAAGGTCTTTGCAAATGTATCTACGCACCGCTTAGGATATCTGGAGCTAGGTAACTACACAGTCTATACAATGGGGCCGAAGTATACAGATTTGTAGAGTTTTGATAATGAGCTTTACGCGGTAAACACATACACACAAATTATTATCTAAGTATAATTAATAAAATATTATTATAAGTGAACATTATCAGTGTTTTGTCAGCAGAATAGTGTCGCGTAAACGAGAACATCACAAATTGTAATAAATGGCATTTCGTTTTTATTGACATGTCTTGAATGCAAAATAACATAACGAATTTAAAACATTACAGCTTTTTATACATACCTTAGATAAAAGCATCATAAAAAACAAATGAACTGTAGCCCCATTACACAGAATTTCAATTAAAAAACTGCGTATGACTAAACCAAAAATATAATGTACTATTTATGGACCTATTCTTGGTTATTTAAATATACAACGATGTTACTATACACCACTTTTAGCCACTCCTCTAGCTATTGCCTTAGAGTATCGTCGACATACATATAATGTTGTTTTCCTACGGTAGCTTCTACAGATTCAACTACTTTAGTGGGAAATCAAAGGGTGGGTCTCCGCTGTAAACTAAGGCGGTCTGCAGCCATACACGCAGTCATAAAATTTATACACACTTATACGTTTCTACGTACACTTAGATCCATCTATAATCAGTAAATATATAAGCCTTGCTACTATTGTGTTGATTCTGGCCGATGTTGCTTATTAACGGACCAGTGTCTGGCAAGAATATGAGTTTTTAGGTTACTTTTTTGAGCGGCTCGGTAACCACAATGTGGGCACATATAGGGCTTTTCGTTCGTATGCGTTCTCATGTGTATTCGCATATGTGCTGGCCGAAGGCACCGCTTTAGACAGATCGGACAGGTGCGGTTATCCAACAGCTGCTGACTGGTTCCACTTTGCAATGCGCTTCCTCCAGCGGGAAGCGAACTATTCCCTACAGCTGATTCTAAGCAGGTATCCAGCGCCATCGGTACCACTGGGCTAACTTCGTCGATTCCCGGAAGGATGTGCCCACCGGACTGACGACACCCATGCTCATTGGCATGGTGCTCATAGATATCGAGGTCATCATGCAGAAAATCGTGCTCCGTATTGCCAGTCATGTTCGGCCCTAATACTGGTGCTGCTGTGAAGAAGTCTTGATCTGACTTGCGTTTTTTCGAGAACGTTGTTCGCAATGACATCGGCGTTCGCGGAGATTCTGCGTCGGCTCCCTTTCCTGGCAATTGGACGTAAAAGAATCAATATCGTCCTAATCATTGCGCATCGATGAACTGATATAAGCTTTCATCAGCATTGGAATCGTGTTTAGGTTGTCTTCAGTGGTAGAGCTTTAGTCGCTGTTTTCCGATATTCTCTAAAGTGCAGCTTGTGCCAATTTGTTTTTGTCCATATTTGATTTATTAAGGGAAGTGTCTATGAAAATGTTCGAATTAAAGAGACGACATCTAATTGTTATAACTTACAGCATAAAAAAGATCAAAACGCGTAATCCACCCCGTGCGCTGGTAGTAGCGCAGTTTGTAAAACTTCTAATACTACCTACAAATTGTAGAAATAACCCTTTCTATGAGAACATATTCCGCAAAGGTAATGTATAATTATATCTCAATAAACATAACACATCGAGGTAGGTGATAATAACACATTTAAAATTTTTTTAAAAAGTGAAAGATCTGATATGTCTACGTAATGCATAAAGTCATAAACTATAAAAATGTGATTATTATATTCACCCTCTCTGCCCAAGTAGAACATGTTTGTCTCTGTCAAGAGGTTGGCAATAATTTCTATTTTATGCTAGCGACATAGCATCGTCTAGAAACCCTTCTTCTAATGCCTTCTGGACATCACTTATCAACGTGGAGACTGATTCACCTTCTAAGGAGTCCCGATCTCTCTGTAAGAAGAAAACGATTTTAGACTGGTTTCTTATCTATATATAAACTAAATACATATAATCGCTAATTTGGTTGATATGTTTACCCGAAAAAATTGATGGAACTGTACAAAACGCGATGTTGTTAAATGATTAATAAATATAAATAATTTCCTTTATACTACTCACAAATTGTGCGGCATGTCGTTGGCAAGACTTGAAACAGCGACTCCTAATAATTTTAATCAATTATATTAAGGAATAAAGTATTTTAATATTAGGATAATATAATCAACAAAATATTACTATGACTAGTGCATATATGTGTATATTAATTTAGATTATGAGAAACGAAAAACTCGCTTCTTCTTACATGTCACTATTAACTTATTTAGTTTTACCCGCCCATCTGGTCACTGTGATCTTTTTTACAACAAAATTATAGGTTACTGCTGGACCATTGTAAAAAAAATACCTACATGGCTCTGATGGAGCGCGTGTGAATTGTCAAATGTCGCATAGAATTAAAAATCTTTTTACCACTTTTCGACCACATGCACTCAATATAAAATCATTCATTACGCAAAAAATGCAATGTTCTGTTACGATTTAAAAATTATTGATTTATTTTCTATTTTCATATTACCGTATATATACACTATATTCACATCGAATATAGCAAGTTAAATATATCAGAATAGATCCTAAATAGTCAATGTCGACATAAAGACGCAGTACAATAGCTATGTATTACCTATTACGGCTATCAGGAGATTTAAGCCGACTTGAACTATACAACGAATTTATCAACGTTGCCATAAACCACAAAGACCTTGACAGAAGATGTTGTATTTACGTATATATATATATATATAAAGATATATAAGCTTGTCATGGTGTTTTATGTAACTTGAATTAGTCAGCTCATTATTTTCGGTCCAGGTAACCAAAAGGTCCTCTCCTATTTTTGCTCGTGAGGAAAAGCTTTGCCACGGATATGGTCCAACCCAGTTTGCAACTTAATCCTCTCCTATATAGACACACATACACATGTATATAAATACTCCGAGATGGTACAACTACTCGTAAATGCATATTTATAATGCCCTTATACTCTAATTAATCAAACCCTAGTCCCTCAACTATATATGCTCTTTCTATATGGATTCTTTGGTACGTTCTTGTGATTCGCATGTTTCACGTGAATAGACGTGAAGTAGCTCCAACTCTGTTAGCTGAGGCATGCTGGTCGCCTTTCTCCAATATGTCCCTAACCTTTGCCGAACATTACCAGTGTATTCAACGGCAAATTCTATCCATAGCATGTGTCACTATAGTTTTACACTACGTAAACGTTACATATTATTCTTACTGATAAGCTGTTTAGCTGTTTGAATTCGGCTGACATAGCGACGTTCGCTCAGCGTCTCTGCCTAGGGGACATCGCCTCGTAGCATTCCCTTAACCTGATGCCGTCGAAGATGAACTGTAAGGTTGCTCTTGTGCGCGGCTCGGTATTCACAGTGAGGACATCGGTACGGCCTTTCTTGGGTGTGACTCCGCATGTGCATGCGTAGCGCCCACTGGTCAGGCCATCGGCGTAAACACACACGACAGGTCCGCCGATCTAAGGCTTCGCTATTTGAAGTTGACATTCCGTTTTGAATATCTGTTACCATAAGCAGCCCATCATTATAATCCGCACCCGTTTCTTCCAATCCGACCGGTGCAATATCATCGAGGCATACCTCATCCAACTCAGGCTGCGAATACCAACAACCGCTGTCACAGTCCATAATTCGACCTAAATCGCCCAGAGGGGCTACGGGCGGTTCTGCAATAGAAACGAAGTAGAACAAACATGGCGTTAGGTGCGTGCTTTAAAATGCAATAAGAAACAAACAAGGTAAATTATCTTAAATATGAAATGTCTATTTATTTACGGGCCGTCTAATCTTATATTTGGTGTACGCTTCACTTATTCTTACGCCTATGTCATGTATGGCTAAATGACGCGTGCTAATCTTCTTTGAACCATTCCCTTGTCCTATCCAATGCTCCGATGTTTTTATAAGAAAATTATTTTGCAAGACGATTTAGAATTGAGTTTCTGAACTGGTAACATCTACTATTATAGATCATTCATATTCAAATTCACAAGGGTTTTCGACTACTACATATTTTTTATTCTTAAACAAATTGCATGGCACGATCTCCGTATAAAACAACTGGAAGCTAACAAATTGATGAACAACCTTACAACAATAACAAACGCTATTTTCACTTTTTTTTTTAATTTCTCAGCACAAGATAAGTTCAGTGATCGAAAATAAATTCTGAGCTGTGCGTTGTTGCCTTATCGCGCTACTGAGTTGAGATCGAATTAAGATAATGCGAAGAAGCTCGATAAATCTGTAAAAATACAATATTAATTAGTTTGATCTGTTTGCCGATATATATATATATATATATATATATGTATATATATATATATACGAATAGATACCTAGGAATATATTGAATAATAATAATTAATCCTTTAAAAAAAACTTAAGGAATCTTTGCATTTGTAGTTCAATGGGGTCAGCATACCTGGGTTTCTAAATAGATATATTTCCTAAAATATCACACAAAGAAATCATCAGTACAGATTAAATGTTATTTAGGGATAATATGTTAGTTAGGGATTAAATGTTTTTTTAAAAAATTGTTTTGCAATTCAAAAAACGCTAAAATTTATTCAACTGATTTGAGCTATTATCAGGAGAACACATCACGTTTATTAACAAATTTCATTTAAGCTTTTTTTATTAGCTTTGAATTCGCTGTTAAATGATATGGCCTTTATTATAATGGCTTAATATATGAAACTAACCACTGACATAAATGTATAATGAGCTTCTAATTTTAACTGAACATGAAGGTTCTCATTGCTCTCATTTGCAATATTCGGAAATACATGCACCCTTACAGACGTACATATATACTTAAAAAATAAATACTTTATATAAGTATTTATTTCTTTATATAATTTGGGCATCTAATAGTCTCCATTTGAGAAGCCCACATACACCCTTATTAAAATCAAACTTATTTTCTGGACTATTATTTCGACAAAGTAATATTTATACGCCTTTACGAAAATATACCCTATATGCCATAATCGTGGTGTGCTCTAAGCGACGTTGAGTGCTGTATACGCATGAACAAACAAAGATCTTTCAGCTATCAATTCTCAGTCGGACACACCTTTGGCGTATTTACTTCTTACCTAAGTTCCTATCGGTAGGTTTACCACAGTCATCTACCCCACTTATAGAACACTGTTGAATTAGATATACCAAATATTGTAATGATATCCTATGAAAAACTATTATATCCACGGTGTTTTCACAAAGAAAATCATTGGAAAGACAAGTTTAGTCCGGTCTTAATATAATTGGCACATATGCATCTATTGATTACAGAGAGCAGAGTGGTATTGGAACACTGGAATGACACTATATTCTAATATGCATATATTTACATAGCAATAATAATATGTACAGATAATAGCTTAGCGTACAAGCTATAAATGTCAAAGATTTTAAGTTAGGTGGAGAAATCCAAACAACCGATTAAGCAAACTCCTGCTTCGTGTTATTATATAAGCGTGCTGCCACGACTAATAATTGCAGGACAGACATGTTGTAATACACTAACTCTGTATTAACTAACGGAAAATGATGGGAGTTCTTTGTAGAATGGAAATCAATCTTTGTTCTTACCTTGTTTCAGTAATTAGGACGGACCGAGTACCATTGTTAAGTTGATAACACTAACGCTATAACATTTCTCAACAGCATACATACACGGAATGTTGAACCTTATCTATTTTAGTCGACGAGACAACAGCTTTAACAATATGCTAGTGAAACACTTGCGACGATCTACATTTCTAAGATGGTTTTGGTTAGATGAACAAAAGATCTAACCTCCTAACCACCCTATCCTTCGGTATTTTTTAAGCTTGGAATAGTCACAGCAATAGAAATACATCTAAGCCTTTTCACCAGCAACTGAAATACTTTCCTTAACGGAGGAAAATGTTTAAACTCTCTCTAGCTAGGATACATAGTCAGCTGAATCACCTGCAAAACAGGATGAAGTTTATTAATTCATCGTATTGCTTCAATAGCTCAAAAACTGACACGCATTCTCACTTTTGACCCCTCCTCAAGATTGGTATCGTATTTTTCTTTTTGGAACAGGCATCCGAAGCGTTTCCAGCTCCCCTTCACAGTAAACAATAGGCTAAAACTGCTGATTGGTTTGTGCCGACTCACATCCAAAATCACGACCTCATACTTATGGAACTTCGCTTAAACTGGCAACATCTCCGTGGTGTCTCTTAATGTGCGATTTGAGGTTGCCCTTCTGCGCTGTCCTATGAGGGCAATGTGGACAAGCAAAGGGCTTTTCGTTTGTATGGACGCGAACATGCATTCGCACACTGAAAGCGTCACTGAAACGTTTTAGGCAAACGAAACAGGTACGTCGGTCGACGCTTTGATTGATTGCTTCTACTAATGTGGCAGAAGAGGCTGTTATCGATCCGGAGCAACTCTCTTCCTGAGCCGCATTCGAAAAATTAGTGGGTGAGTGGGCTACATCCCAGCCGGAGCTTTGGGTGGTCTGCTGGCTCTGTATGTCTTGACTTTGAAATGTTTCTTCTACGACGGCTTGGGGCAGCCGGCTTCGAGGACGCCCGCGTCTTTTTGGCCCTAATACTTCCGTGGCGGTCGCGGCTGTTGAGGGGACCATCGAGGTTGTCGAGAGAGGCAAAAGTTCGCTAACACCGTTAAACAACGTTCCGTCGTACGAAGCTATCTCGGCCTGTTCACTAGAAAGCCATGCGTTACGGCCACTCTTAACAGGCATAAGTGTCTGAGCTGTATCCATTTGGTCAACTGGCACAGATCCGGCACGTGGCTGCACATCTACGTGGAGGGCGACATAAGGCGGAAACGAAGCATACAAAAAATTTTGTTAACCATTATAAGGAATATATTGTGTATTAATTCATTAGAAGACACAATTTACAGTGCTACATTTTTTCTGTCTCCAAATGCAGTGCAGGTCACGAGGCTTTCTCTCAAACCTAATCTCGACTAATAAAAATACTCAGGTTTTGGAGAAACCTATATTATATAATGATCAAGCCGCAGTAAGTAATTGTAATAAAATTGAAATAAAAACAAGAAATCGAGAAAGCAAAATACATTTATTAATATTTTCCATTATCCATTAAGGTTGTCGTTGTTTTATCAATCAGAGACAAATTTCTTAATAAATATGGAATTTATTGTGTCGAATCTTCCGATGAACTGAGAAAAGTGATTCGCAACCTGAAACGACAGCGACTTATTACGTTCAGTTAAGATATTCCACTAATTATTATGCTTGACGCTAAAATGTTTTTCTACAGACTGACAACATGACCGTGGAAACTCCACAATGACAATACAGGATGAAACGATTCTATTTATTTACCTAATCGAAACTTCCATTCAATTACCAGGCTCTGGCAGTTTGATACCCCTGAAAGAAGGCTTCATCAAATGAGATTATAAACATCCAGCAAATGCGTACTAAGCCACAAATAGTGGCTGCGCCTAAATACGTTTCGGGAACAAACAGAAACATGTTTATAATTTATAAAGGAGACGTAACTTAATTCCTCAACCGAAGCATTGCTAAGCGTCCGGCTCGTTAAAACATTTTTACGAAAGCCGCGAGTGAAAATGTTTAAAGACCATGACTTCGCAGCTCATTGTTTGCGTGAACAAAGGCGCGCATGCTCCTCAACAAATATGCGTATATAATGATTTGTAGGTAGGTGGTATCGTTTACACACAATACAAGTTCGCATCTTTTAGAGCTTTCAATGATAACATACTACTGTTAATATTATCCCTTTAGCTATACACATTGACCCGTGGTTGCGCAGTGGTAACGTGTTTGCCTACTAAACCTAAAGATATGTGTTGGTCTAGATCAAAACCGGGCGTAGACGCACTTCCTTTTATGCTAGCACTTAGCCGTCTAAAGCATCGCTTAACGGCAATATAAGACGTAAAGCTCCTAATATCTGTTTAACTATAGTACTGTGTCTAATTAAGTTGATCAATCACAAGTAATCATGTTTGGTACGTCGGACACTTGCAAAAATCAAGGGTTCTTTTTCTGCACCTTAACCTGAAATTTAAAAAAATTTGCACGGTTTCTTTAGACAAAACTTGTCTAGCAAACAAATTAAATGCTTCTAGTAAAGCTAGAATAACGAAAACGATAAGATGTGGAACTATGATCCTATCGATGACGTAAATGTAACAAACGCTTGATTAGTGATGATGCCAAAGTATTACACAAATCTGAGCTGTCCGCATGTAGCTAGCCCTTCTTGCATATTCAGTCGGTTTTCCTGTATCGCCCCAGTCGGCAGCGCTTTAGTTGAAAAATTTTATATTCTGCTAATTACGACCAATTTTAAATATTTTTCTATTTAGTGACACATGATACGTCATATGTCGACAGCAACGCTTTTTTGGTGGAAATTTAGGCATTACAGAATTAACGTGGAACAATTTTCAAGCGGATTAGAATGACAGGTTTTACCGACGTGTGCTTGTGCACAGCTCCGAAACGAAGCACAATGCGCCGAAGTTTGACAGTTCCGCACACTATATCGATATCGTGCCAAGTGCTTCCAGCGACTCAAAAATGGCAAGTATAAATATGACGCTCATAAGAAAATACTTAATGGATAATATCTTATTGCTATATATTTTTCTGTTCAATATGTCAGAATTCTCAAAAAAAAAATCATAAAAACGATCGCTGAAATAATAACCAAAACAGTATTGGTCACATATGAGGAAAATAATTCTTGTTTTGATACTGCCGCTAAAAATAGGGGAGAAGATTTCGCCTAGGAACTTCGATAACAATCAGCCAATTTTCTGGACTTGGTACGAACCGATCGTTAGTCTATTTCAATCAATCCAACTACGTCCATTTCAAGACATGACTTCAGTTGTACTTAATGGATTGCGATAGAAAATTAAGCGTCCTTTTATTGAAAAAGCTTTGCAGCCATCAGTCTAAGAGGATAAAGCAATAACTAAAACACATTTCCTTTTTAGACGGGTGTTCAAGTGTCTTGAACCGCTGTCGAAATTCACAAGACGCCTAACATGTTGTAGAGCCTGAGCTGAGTGTTATTGTGACTAGCATAATATGGCTTCGGAATACGAACAACGGCTAGGTAAATAAAAATCAAACAGCTCTACAATGACAAGAGCACTCATGATGTCCAGAATACATAGCCAATAGCTACCTGGTTATTTTGTTGCAGTGAGGACTTCTTTTATCACTGTGAAGTATTATCATATTTTTCTCTAACGAGTCCAACCATAAGATCAAAAAAATTAAAGCAAATAACATTTGTGTAGCTTTTCGAATAACTACAAACAGCTTTACATTCATTGTATATTCCTTTTAGCGCTTGGGAAATTGTTGAACCCGTTCTTCAGCGATGGAGTGTCCGCCGATACCATTATCGACTTGATTGGTTACTGTGACATACAACATGTTCAGACTGTTGCTGTTAGTCGTGGCGAGTCGAACGGTCAGTGTTCATGAAATGCTTCGCTAACAAAACAAAAATGTCTTGTCGAGCCGAGATAATCTTATACCTTCGCAAACCTAGCCATAAACAGCCCCGATTCAACTCTACTCTCGATCAGCATGCTTCAGTGTTCAGCGCAACGCCGTCCACTGAGGTTCTAACCTTTCCGTCTAAAATGTGATGATCGTATTATAAATTTTGATTACTGTCGCCTACAACAATGCTGATGATTAAATCTGGTTACTCCCCCAACACACCGATACCTGTATGAGAGTTAAAGACCTCGGTAATTAGTTAGTTCTTTTTAAACACAGATTTATCAACTGTAGGTATATTGAAAGTTCTTCGTACAGACGGAGATCAAGTGAGAAAGTGTGAGAACCAATGAATCCATATTAACAATATAGAATAACGGTATGCTAAAGCATTGAGTCACGACGTAGACTCAGTTCCATGGCTAAAACATTGACCTTACAAAGGTCGAGAATTCAAATTTTCTGGCTGGCGCTTTTTAAATCTGTATAATAAAAATACAAGTCGACTTGTTAACCCTAATAAAGCGTTACACCAGAAGCTCTGACTTGTTATAGATTATTTAGCTGGGTATATAGACATATCGTCAGGGAGATGCGCAGGCTTTCCTACTGATTGTATTTTGCTTGTGCCATTTAAACATATTCACTATAATTAAAATTCCAGCTTAATACTTGCCTTTTTCCAATAGAAAAAAAACAACTTGAATTGAAATTATCAAGCAAATTGTGTGAAACGGAAGACCTCCCAGTCCACCTAACGCTGACGCTCTATGTTAGCTAAGTTGTAAGGTTCTATGTATGTTATAGAAAAAGAAGAAAGAAAAGTCTATGATGAGTATTTTGATTAACAGATGTCATAGTACTATTATTACGACATAGATGAAAGACTATCTGTATGATATAACCATACTTACTTCGAGTAAGATAAATAAGAAAAAAAAAAGGAAGAAGCAAAGAAGGGTTTGATTTTTTATACATGCGTCAATCTTTTTGTATCCAATAAAAATTGAAACTAACATTTCCTTAGAATTAGTTTTGCAATAAATATTGTACTCCATAATTTGTTTTTTTTAAAGGGTTTTAGCCTGCTTAAGCTCACCTGATTTTTACTTGAAACTTTTTGTTTTGATTCAATTGACTGATGGAGTCGTCGGATATTGTTGCGAGTAGACAACTTCCATTTAACAACAGAAATTGGCTCCAAATTGTCAGACCATATTGTCTACTTACTTATTTAACTTAAAACCCGTTACATATTTGATTACTTGCAAATATGCGTAAATTAGAACCAAGTTGTATTACGCGCGGTGCCTTTGAATTGAAATGATGAATGAAACTATATATGCTAAGTCAAATGGCTTGGCTTTAAAAATGTAACCAGGATAGAGTTATAAAATAAAAACGGATTAAAAACGGTTGCCGTTTTGAAAATCGCAGAAATGTCACGTTACCTAAAACTGATGTGCCGAATCGAATACGCCTTCGACAAACAAAATTATTACATTACTTAAATTATTAATTTCCAATGCAAAAGCAATGAAAGTATGGTTATATACTCATCATTCGCGGTATATAAAACTTCAACCTCTAGATTGTATGACAAGTAGGTATTCTTGGTTTAAAAAATTACAGCATTTTTGCGCGCCAGAGAAATTTGTTCCCGATATAACAAGTGTCTAACTTTCTGACCAGGTTTTGATGAGCTTCTAAAGCCAGTCGTAAGATCCCAGTGTTGCGGAGAAAAAGGTAAAAAATTAGATTTTTCGACAACTCCATGCATTCTTGAAAGATGTGCAGGGTGATACTTCGAACAAATAGCGCAATTTACGTGCATGGACTTCACACATTTTCCGTTAAAGCACGTCACCTCGTACCACGTTACTTTATCCGGTGGTGTATATTGAGACACAATGGCACCTCACTCGTTAATAAGGTATACACGAAGGCACCTTGCACAAAACAGATACAATGTCTATTTACTTGTCGCAAGTCCATAAAGGTGGCACGATTGTCGCTGCAAAATCTCTGGCACCTACATTTTTCTTTTGCAAAGTCCCATTGTTTAATTTTTATTGACACGAGAAAACGATTCGCCGCCTAATCAAAACAGCTGCTTCATAGTATGTTATCTTGCCGCGCACATCGATGTTCTAATGGACGAGTGCATCGGCAAGTCGTACAAACTTAAAGCTTTTATTACAACTAAGTTTATTTTTATCATTTTCATGGCCGGCTGTGGAGTTTAAAAATGTGGTAAACACTCAGGGAATCTATACACCCGTCAGTCTGAAAGAAGTCTACGAGCTGAAGTATGGCCAGCGACTGGTAAATATTAGACACGTTGTCAAAATTACGCTTGTCTGGTATATGAGTAATAACTAAGCGCGGAAATGTAGCTACGCGAAATCAGCGCCTCGAGAGATAAACTAACTTTAACAAAGGAAAAAAGAAGTTTATAGCTGGTTTATCGGCCAATTTTACGTATGTCAGTAAAGGAAATTCGATAGCGGTTGCTAGAAGGTACGAGGGAAACAGGATTAAGTTTTTCGTACCGTGCGAAGGACCTTATCATAGAACAACTATAGAGCACAGACGTAATGTTTCTAGGTTTCGCCGTAGTCCTTATTGCTAAAGTCTTAGTCTTAAAATCCCTCAGGGATGGTATGCTAATAACAACTTGACACAAAAATCTAAAAAGCCAAACAATCAAATTATGCACTACGCTTTTTAACAAAGAATTAAAAAAACGGCAGGTGCCATGCAGAAATGTAATGAAATAGCGGTACATTTTAATAAGATTGAACGGGTCACGGACTGAACACAAAGATATGACTAGTGACTTCTAGTTAATTCACCAATTGCCTCATCATAGGTTTTTCTTACCGCTTTTTTTTGTTGTTTAGTAATTATCACAAAAATCGCTTTGGTTCTATTGCTCGTTTTTGCTCAACTCTATTTTTCTAAGAATCTATTTATTCTCTATTTCAGATTTGTGAACAGCTCTATTATCCCGAAAATTAGTAGCTCATCTTAAACGTTTTGAATATTACTTAAGGTCGTATTATTCGAATGTAGCTGCCTCCACAGAAATTAACGCATTCTCTGCGCTAACCTTTATGGAAATCACTGGAGCTTCGGTATCTATTAGAAGACTTACGTTTGGAGCACAATACGGAATTTCCTCGTGAAGCTTTACTCTTTCAGGCCTTTTCGGTAATCGGCCTCTTCGAGTTAATTATGACAGGGCAATGAAATCATAATTTACCATTCTTCTAATTAAAAATTCAGTTTAGCACCACAAAGCATGCGATTTTAGAAATCGAATTATAACTGAGTGGAAATCTTCAACTTGTATTTGAATCGGTTGATTCCTGATTGATTGACCTCTTAGGGTGTTCGCAGATCGAAGCTCTGACTGAGGTACGATGTAGAGTGCACGTGAACAAACGTTTGCAAAAGGTAACTCTGGAGATCCGCAGAAATAAAGCTGGCACGTATGCGATTACTTTTCTTAGGATAGGCTCCTCTCACATAAACACCTTGTGGAAAAACCTAGCAAGAACCCGAGGAGCTTCTTGTACCGTTACGTATGTTTCCTTCCTATTCCCTGAAGGTGCATACGCAATACGTCTTACAACACAACTCAGTAACGTCGTTATTCACTTCCGAAAGAAAAATAGCACCTAAAATTGCACAAAAACGACAACCGCGTGTGAATAAATATAAAAGCACTGCTGCTTCTGAGGGCTCTATTTTTTATTTTATTAAACAACACCTTTTCGCTTCCCATACAGTAGCATCCATTAGGATCCACCTCATTTATATATATTTCCACTCACACTGCGGCTCGCATTCTCCTACCCGTGTAGGCACCCGTCGTATGTATGATAAGCCAATGAAGTGCCATTCCTCTCAATCAGTTACAAAAAACACATGCATTTAACCGAATTGAGATAGCTTCAACGCTTATGTAAATGTCAACGTAATTACGTATACACTTATAGTGTAAAGGAAAATGTTATTTGCCAGTCAATAATTCATTTCAAACATCTAGTTTTGGAAATTGAGACAGCCAAGACTGTTTGATTCTCTCTAATCGTCAGGTGCCTGGGCGCTTAGGCTGTTTTCGCGTGGCTCACTAGCTGATAGGGATGTAAATGATGTTGGTGTTTTTAGCATCTTGAGGTGTTAAGACGTCGCATATAGTAGCGGCTACTTCGCGGAAGCCGCAGCCTGTTCCTTGGCTTGTCGCTCCTTATCCTTCTTCTCAGCCTCTAATCTGGCTTCCTCTTCTTCATGAGCCTTCAGGAGCTTTTGGACCTATTATATTGGTAGCATTTTGAACAAACGACGCAGAAATAAAGAATCATTTCCGTTAATTCCAACAGCTCCGTACATCGAAATCAAAGCACCATAGCTATCCACGTACCGCGTGTATTTAAATTATGGTGAATTATTCTTGACGTATATCGTATGCCCCTATACTGACCTCTGTTGCCCGTAGAATAGTAATTCGCGTTTTGTTATCAATCCTTCTCAAGGTGGCGATTTCAAGCTTATCCGATGTCAACTTTGTCATATCCAATGTCTTGGCCAAAACCTGTAAACAAATTGATTTGCATATGGCCATCGTTAGTTTGAAGTAAGCACGCATTTGCAAGCAGTTAATATAACATTTTCTTCTAAATCGTTTGGATGTTCGATATACAAACAGAACGTTTGGCGACTTGTTGTTAGGCGTGCATAATCGTACCTTAACTGCCAAAGCGAGCGCCTGCCCTAAGCTCGTTTCATTCTCCTTATACTCCTGCTTGAGGACTGACATTGCGGCTGATGAGTTATTCCCAATACATGTGGCCTTCCAACCCGAGTAATTTCCAGATGGATCTGACTGGTACAGCTGGTAACCTGGAACCCGAAGAAAGTGATGACAGGATTAGGAATTCTTGCAGACTCGTCGCATAACTCAATTTTTGATCCGCTATGGGCAGTCTCGATATAGTGAAATAGATTTGGTCTAAATAAGAAAATTGATTCGGTTTTATTAAAGCAGATAATAACCTTGATTTATTTCAGGAAAAAGAAAATAATAGTCGGTAGTCAAGCCGATGGTCGATTCATTTACCGTAATGTTTATCCCAGCCCATATAGAGAAGGGATACACCGAATGGTCTCTTTCCGCCGTACTGTGTGTACGCTTGTTTCAAATCACAGAGCCACGACACTAAGCGTTCGCACGGGATAGACTCCCCATATTGGATAAGATACCTGTAATTCAACAATTAGATAATTGTTAACATTATCCTGAATCGTCTGGGTGATTACGCGTACTTGAAAGTACGCCAATAAGGTATGTTATTCTTACTACTATATTAAGTCAAATCTTACTTTTTATCTTAGTTCAGTTTAAGCTCATAATAAAAAATTCAAACTTCAAAGATTGCGCAGTAATAAAGTAGAAATCGATATCTTGCCGCGGGCAAAATCTGTAGACACATGTTTCAAGATTAAATGTATTCTTGCCAAATAAAATGGAAAACGAAAGATTCTAGCGTACTTGACCAAGTACAGTGTTCCATTCCAAAATACCACGATAGTATCAAGCGATTCGGTTCTTATAAAAGCTTTTATTGATAAATTAAGATGGAAACTCATTAATGAAATATGTGTAAATATAGTCAGCTGCATACTTATGTACCCCACAGTTACTATAATGTAATGTTAGTCATACATTTGCAAACTACTTTGAGTTTTATGTCCGGCATTGTCTTTCACTGTTTCAGGGGATCTTCAACATAAACGTATTATGGAGCTTTCAAGGAAACTTTATGCCGCAGATCTTTTGTACTTTTGAGTGCTAGAATAATTGTTTTATGTGTCAACGGCTTACATTAAAGGTATGGAATATCCGTAATATTGATTTTCTTTACCCTGTAAATTACCTCACACCGCCAACGACGCCGAACTAACACGTTCCAATAAACATCACTACAGTACATAAAAACAACTTTCATCGACCTACAAGGCCAATAGGCGCAGTGTTTCCTGATAACTGGTAAGCACTTTGTTTTCCGTGTCCATTTCTTCACAACGGAATAATAACTTACCTCTGAGCGATTAGGCGCAACTCATTTGTGAGCACGTTAGCATCGGAGGTAATTCCGGCAACGCTGCACGCCATGTCATCATGTAGTTTGTAGATTTTTTCAGCGGTAAACACCTCATCGAGGAGTTTGTTCGTATTTCGCCTTTCTCCAGCCAAAACGATACCATCAGTCGCCAGGATACCCAAGCAGGTGCCTGCGTGGCCAATTGCTTCCATGGCATACTCGACCTGGTAGAGTCGCCCCTCCGGACTAAAGATCGTGGTGCGTGAATCATAACGACGAGCCATTGTCACGTAAGTTAGTTGGTATCAACTAGTTAAATACGTCACTACTGCAACGTTAACAATGTATTACACAAGTCACTCGTTCGTGCTTTCCGGCCGAACGTTTGCTCACAGCTCATATCACAGGTACCGCCGCTGTCGCTGTTGTACAACACCGGCTGACTTGCATAAAATATCCCGGTAGTTTCGATTTCGCTGTTTTAGCCTATGTTGTTGTTTTTGTTGTGACAGAACAAAATTGAGAGAAGACACCCTCGTGGACTGACGTCGGAGCGCGACTAATATTATGAATAGTCAAGGAAATCTGAACGCAGAAATAGCCAAGAACACAAAACAAGGCGCATTCTGGTCACGGAATTGAATTGAGTCTAACATAAATCATATTTTTGCCCACTTCCATTTATCCAATGATTTGATGGATATTTTCTAACGCAGCCTTTGAAATATAAATACATGCGAGTTATTTATTTAACGGAAACTGTCCTATATATGTGAAGCTCTTCCTTTGGTTGAGCAGTTCTTTTGATTTCGGTTATCCTATAATGTATTCGGTGTATCTCGAAAAAGCTCTTTAATGACTTTGATTATTTTTGGTAGGCAAAGTTAGCTTTAGGCGAAAGGATTACTAAAAGAACGTGTGACTAAACTCGGGTTCGTACAAAAAATATAAACGTTTTAGTAAACTCCAACATGCTATTGAGCTTTTATACCGAACGGAGCTCTGAAGTTGTTTATTCGCGTCGACCTGAGAATTTGCTACCGCAAATAATTCGAGATAGTGCTTTTTTTTAAATTAAAGACGCATAACAAAATTTACTTGTAGCAAATATTCAGTCATGAGCATGGGATCGACCGATGTGTATCAGAAGTGTTCCTTATTTGTAAAAGTTGTATGAGTTTTTCCTTCTCAAAGTCGTACTTACGTACAATATATTAATACACTTGTTAGATTTAGAATGAGCTAAATTTTATATATGTGTATATATTGTCAACTGGAAATTTGTATTTGAGGCATTTTAGTCTGTGCTGTTCTATTTAGTTTGACTTGTCCACTGAGAATCCTATCGAAAAAAATAAAGAGAACTTGATCATGTACTATTTTTCATGCTAATGACATTATAAGCAGTACTTTACTTTTATTTTAAGCTGTTCTCTCAATTTTATTGTTATTGCCGTAACGTTCTAGAATCGCCTGTGGCACCGTTCGCATCTTCTTTTATACTGTACTACAGTTTCCATCGCGTTAAAGAATGTTTTCACATAGTTTATAGACTGATGTGTCCAGCCATTTGTTTTCTCACATGCGTCCCAATACTTGGCATATTCTAATTTGTAATTATTGTTATTAATATCCTGATTAGGCCAAATGAGTGATCCAAACAACGCTGCTATCTACATATGCCTTTATAGAATGCATCATGATTATACGGCGCGTTGTCTCTGTCTTGTTTACCATGTTATTTTCCAAAAATCATTGGTAAGAATTATTAAATATAAAACAGTTTTTATTTGCCTTTTCGTGTGCTGCGACATTTAACCACTGATGCAGCACGGCATAACTTAGCAATGCTAGTAAAACCCTTTTCTGGTGCAGTGTCGTATTCATGGCCCTTCCATAACGCTTCTCTACTCTCTTTACATAGAGCTTGATTTAATTCTGTGAATTCATAGGCTGCTATGAACGTGGAATGTACGTTAAACAAGTTACGAATAAACATATGCATTACTACAAAAACACCGTTTCATCCACAAAGCCTTTTAGGGCGAAAAAAGCATGTGGATGGACTTCTTTTCGATCAAATCGATTAGTGCGATGGAAGAGCTCGGATACGTGTGATAAATATATTTGTCTTACTATATGTGTTAAGGTTTTGCATGTAAGTTGAAGTTGAATTTGTTAGAATGTCTGTTGCACGGTACTCAATCTTTTATATATATATATATAGCAAACAGGGACGGAAGCGATCTTCACCTGCGTTAAAGCAAGCTGTTACGCTGTGATGTGGCCTTAGTAACCTTTCTGGTATCTATCGTTAGTGATTTGAAATAATCCCTAATAAAATTCATCTATCATGAATGTACCTACTGTTTTTCCTGTCTTTTGTCTTTCCTTTTAACTTTGACGAAATAAGGGTACATTTTTTTTACCGTTTTTCAATCGAACTCTCGTTTTAGTTACTGACTTATTCTCATTTTTAAGAAATGGCGAGAGCTTGCGGTAGTTAAAACCCATTGGCACTCTAATGTCGATTCTGTAGAGCTATTTTTCTTCTAACCCTTAAAATATACACATGTGACAACAAACACATTCACTTTTTAGTTACCGTGGCTGATATTATCTTGTTGCATGATAAAATAAATTTTATTTGCTACTTCGCATGTTCACTGCCATTCCGAAAGTAGATCCATTTGATAGTGTTGAAGACACCTATCCAAAGTGCATGTTGTCTGGATAGTTCAACGGTCGACAATTTATATTTGATCGAGTTCGATTGGATAGGACCCTAACAGCGTTTAGGTCTTGGCTTGTCTTATATCCTAGACATTAACGAACTTTCTAGCGACTCAACAGCATTTGCACTGATCGATGTTATAATATCGATGTATAATTTCCACGGTTTCTTCATACTTGTTCTTTTAAGTAGTTTTAAGTTCTTAACCTAACAACAATAGTTAACAGGAATTATTTTTTCGAACCGAATGCATAAAATATTGCTTGTATCACCCAACCCCTGGACTCACCCGGTCCCTCGAATAGGCATGCAAATCTATTTCTATTTTAAAAAAAAAAATTATTTTATTGGCTGGCATAAATCGAGCTACGGTGACGTCGTATCACTATCTTTAACATATCACGCTGCAGCTACAGAAACGAAAAACGCTGTTGAATATACTGAATTTTATCTCCAAACGTATTTTTTCGGGGGGGGGGGAGGGGGGTAGGATCCCCGATCTGACCAACGATATCTTAGGAAGAACAATTAAAGATACGGATATACGTTGTATATTAGACTCACTAATAGGACGAGACAATGTTAACATCGCTATCTATTAACGTAACTTATTAATTTCGCATGACAAAATTAGCCAAGATTTACGGCTGCACTGCTTCGAAAGGGCCACTACCAAGTATTGTTGAAACAAAATTTATAATTGAATATCTATTTTCCAGATTGTGACTGGATTCTCACGTGTTTAGTAGATACGATCTTAGTTAATGCATAAGAGTAACATTGCAGGGCGAGTTTCAGTTTAGTCTCGTAGCCAAAACATGTTCGACAATGGGCCTCTCACAGCTTAGCTGATCGAGTCACCTGAATATGCCCAAAACAGATACATAACGAGACCTTCTGGGTACAGTCAAGATAAGAAATGTTGATGGGCAAAAAGTAGTCAGCTGAACTGATGTTGAAAGTGTTCAAGAATGTATTGAAATTAGCGCAAAGCAGAAATTAGAATTAGTTTTCTTTCATAGCTATGGCAACGATCATCACTTTACTAGTCACTTTAATCACTAGATAACCGAAAATGTGTTCTGTGGGTAGTTACGAGTTGATCTGGTCTGGTTCGCAGTTCATCAAACATGCATACAGAACGTAATGTTCAGCTGTTAGTCGAAAAGTTGAAATAAATATTATGAGGCTGCCGTTATTTTATTTATATGCAAAATTTCAAAGCGTCTCCCATATTGTCTATTCCGAGCACGTACAAACACCTGTAACGACACAAGATTTATTCATCTGATACGAATTGTTTGTCTGTCATCATTCGCAGAACTGTTCATTTAATTTTATACGAGTTCAATATGTTTGCGTGTCCCATTTTATTACATTCAAAAAAACTAAGATTCTACTAGGTCTATTTCTCCTAACCTAAATAACTCTAAACAGATTCCGGCGCTTGTGTATAGTTTACAATTGATACCCGTGCCCGAACATAAAAACAAACACATTTCGCGCCGCCACTTCAACAATGTCACCAGTACGCATTAGCATCGCGTTTGCACAGTTCTACAATAACAATCAACTGTTACTCCATCTTCGAAAAAGTTACATAATACGTATCGAGTATACGCTTGAATCTAGTTAGTTAGGCTCTCTTTACCGGGCACAATAGCAATCGTTCGAGCGTCAGAGACAAACTTTCTGTTCAAAGTTATTAAACATATTGTTTTTTGCTCCTGATCAGCCAATGGATCAATCTGTTCCACAAGGTTATAAATTAAATTCGCACATTTCGTAAATTTGCACTCGGCAAATAAAACATCGTATTAAACATGTTAACAAATACATATCACATCAACGACACTATCAGAATAGCGATTCAAACTGAGTTGTTGAGGAAAGCATGTCTCATTCGATCTGTCCGCTAGGCAATGACGGCTTCTTGGCCGCTGCCTAGTAGAAGTACGCTGTCAAGTTAGTGACGAGCACGTGGTCCTCATGCGAAAACAGTATCATAATCAATCGATTTGTGTGGGATAACGTTGTAGCTGCCAATGATCGTGCACGGCTCTTTTTCGACTCTGTACTGGACGCGTAGAAAGGCTACAGTTTTTCATTTTCCCGTTGCTTGCATTGCGTGGCAATACATGGTATATGCACAAGGTGTATTAGTTTCGTCTTCTAGCTAATTGAATTTAACTGTTCATGTATATGAAACTGACTTTGTAATTTTGCACAAACTTGAGACTCAACATGTACCGGCTAAATGTGGCCATTTTCTAAGGTTTCCTCCATAAGGTCTTTGTTGTAGATCACAGATAACGGTGCACATCGTTGTTGTTTTATTACTATTACTGTTCTAGATAATCATTTTATTGTTGTCCGGCATAGAGCGAAAAGATAGCTAAAAATACAGAAACCCTGATCTCAATTAGCGCGATTGCACAAGCGTTCCTAGCGAGATACGAAAATAACTCCTCTGAGTATCACTTCTAAGAAACTTCAAGAGCCTCGGAAAAACTAAGTTTAGCCAAACGTGTATGCCTTAAAGTGTGCACGTAGACCAAACTCTATTGTACAAGCTAAATGAAAATAAGTCTAATACTAGGGCAAAAATCCTGCTCCCTACAGGATCTACGACGGAAAAGAGGATGACATCTGAAAAAATGTGCTTGAACGCGTTGTTTGTATCTCTTACCCCATCTGCAGAAAAAAAGTTAATTTTTCGTCGTGTTATTTACTGGTCACGTGTAATTCGAGTAATGTCATATGTAAAAAATGTTTATCTTATTGATGCCTTTTGTTGTTGCCTTGCAGATTTAGAAGAGGGTGGGAGGGGAGGCAAGAGGAGGGGAGGGGATCATTATCTCATCGGCATACAATCACTATGCATAAGTCAATGTAACGTTTAGCCCAATGTCATGTTGACAAAGCCCACTAGCAAACTGATCATATTCTTCCGAGGCAGATCTATATTGACTGCCTTACATTGGACTGAATTAAGAACGGCGTAATTCATGCACGTTTCGTTCGTCCCTTAAATCTATTCATTGCAAAACTACAAAGCTAGCATATATGATCAATCGCACTAGTTATGGTATTCTTGATTCTTGTTATTAAGTATTTTGTCGTTTAGTTACTCCGAGTCTCCTGCGCTTATATTTTGTGAATACAATGTAGGGGTAATAGGCGAAAATATCGGTACTGCTTTTCAGTGTGCGTTAGAGCCTTTCTTCGCTCCGACGCAACTTCTTCGAGGTACCTCTATGGAAGCGCAAGACCCGACAATCATATTCCCATCAGTTTCGTTATCAAGAATAGAATCTGCTATGAGGATTATGGCAATTAGCAATATCAGTGCGTAAGAATTTAACTGCTGCAATATACTCCGCCCCTTTGAATGAATCTTGTATATAGCTCAGTTATGGGTTTTTGCCCATATGGGTTTATATCCATATTCGTTATCGGTGTATATCCAGATTTACATCTCGTACATAATATTTGTGACTCATCTACTGCATATAAGGTTTGTTTTCGTACACTCATTCACTCATGATGTTCTCGACGGACTCGTCGCTTTTTGTTTCTTTGTTGAATTGCTCCCACCATCAGCTTACGCACACTCGCAAACATGAGCTTTTTGTCTATCAAACATCAGCATTGCATTACTTTCTAGGTCTCGCTACATGTACTTAGTTCACCGGGACGTTAACTCTTAGCACGGGTCTGCTACCTAGGGCTTCGTTGATAATTTTCAAACGCTGTCTTCTTGGAACGGTAGACCCAGCGAAAATCCTCCTCCTCAAACAACGGCGCAACCACTGAAAACCCTACGTCTGTGTAATATTGGCATTTAACTCAAATTAACGCACAGCTTCGATGACGTTTAATCAAATATTCACCGCAAAAGTGCAGGCTAAAGAGGCCAGGATCCGAAGCGATCGTGTCCAAAAACTGCTTGCTAAACTCTTTCTATTTTCATTTCGTTGTGACGTGTGGTGAAAAAGAGCAGATATCTTCCATAGTAAGGATGCCATCATAACAGTGATTGGATGTACTTAGGACGATTACACCTCGTCGAACTTGTTGTGGCCCGTGCTTTTTGCATGCGCCTGAGCACCCGCCCGGCCGACCACACCCCGATTGCACTCAAGGCAACGCAACGTAAAGTTCTGTACATCGGTAAATTGACCGGACCTTTTTGCTTCTTGGGCCACCTCTAAAGCCAAGGCTAAAATCTGTAAAAGGCACAACAAAATAGTTAACAATAGCTAAATATAATAATCTAAAAAAAAAAGTAAAATATAAAGCATTTTGTGTCGCTCGCTTGCTGCTCATACTTAACTGAAAGAACCGTACGTTATAACGATGGTTGCGATGATAAGAATTAATTATAAAAACGTCTACTGAGCGAAGCTTTTCATGGATATATTCATGTATGATAGTTGTCGCGAATAGGATCGTAATTAAAAGTAAATCAGACGGTTGATGCTTAATGCTTACCATGTGATCGTCTGTGCTAAATGTGGTACGAATGCCGGATCCATCGGAATATTCAAGCAATAATGGATCATAGTGGATTCCGTCATAGATCAGGAGTATTCGCTGGCCATAGTTTTCGTCCTCGCCGAACCGATTCAGTCGCTCATTCTGTGTATCGACCGCCACCATTTCCGTTTTGAAGTGCTTCGACAGGATAGCCAACTCTATAGCGCCTCCCCAGTGCTCCTCGTTTAGAATCCACGTGCAGTACTCTCGATTTGGTTTACCTAGATACAAGGATATTTTTTTCAACAGGCAGCAACAAAGAGAGGCAAACACAAAAAACCTGTTAAACAATGTATTTAATATAATATAAATAATATAAAATTTGAAGTACAATAAAAAATATGGAAAAGGAATTAAAACCTAACCGATTACCGCTAATTAATTGCTGGAGTTATTAACTTGTGGTGTTATTAAATAATTCTCTTCGTATTATGCTTAATGAATGGATCCATCGGAAAGCCTCTATAATTTTCCTAGTTTTTCCCAGCGATTGGTTACGGCTAATCACTGGGAAAACTTAGTTACTCTGCTCTGCTTATCTCGTTATCCTGGTTATCATTCTAATAATATTTTAACATTTTTCTTGGCCTGATTCAGTGTATCTCCATTTTTCCGCAATCGTATTAAATAAGTTAGCGCGGTCCATGTGACGTTCTACCTGAACAAAAAAACTGACTTCGATTCTAAAATGTCCAATATAAAATCGAACGTATTTTTTTACGTATTTTGCGCAAAACTGGGCTTCAACGTCGCACACAGAGCCAATCCCTTATTGAGACGTTACCGAATTCGAGCCTCGCTTAATTACAGACCTATACAATCGCTTATCGTAATTTGGTTATCCCGGAAATCAATAATACCGCTCTTCCGTTGAAACATTTATATAGCCTCGATACCCCATTGCAGTCTTCTAGCTTTCTTTTTGCGACATTATCGACGCACCCTACCCCTTAAAGTACAACTCAAACAAACAAACTGCTAAAGATTAGATCAAACTAACTGCTCTATATAAACCATTTTTGATGGGAAAACTTGCACAAAGGCACACGGACATGCAACTATTGAGCTGTAGTGTGTGTGTGTGTGTAGATCGATAATAATTACTTAATACGCAGTCATTACTATTTGTTAATCCAGTACTGTTTAAGTATCATAAATATAAAACATTAATTGGAATCCATTACCGAAGAATTGTAGTATCGACACTGGTGGCATTATGATAATTATAATAATTTTATTTCACTGATTGAGATGAGAATGCTAATACAACCGAGCTAAAAACCCATGCTAACCATTCAGCGCTAGGAGGTAATCTGAAAACTACTAACAGTATTCTACTCAGTTGAGTACATGAAAACATCTAGGTAATGATTAATGGCCATTAGGTTTTAACCCGCACAAATCTTACGGCAGAGCGCGGTCGAAAAAAGCTCCCAAAAAGTGCTACTTGGGTTCTTTAGAGCAGTTGATCCGAAATTCTCGCGCAAACTTTGCATACTTAATATTGTTCAATGTTCCCGTGTGTTGCTATGGAACGTGTTTTTCCACTAAACTTAAGAACACTGGTAATCGGAGTTCATATCCGTTTTGCGCTGGCCAGGGTCGGCCTATGTCACAATGCTAGCCCCATTCGATATATTTAACTATTTTCTGAAACGAGCGAGTGACTTGGTATCGGGACGAATCTTATCTCAGTCTGGAACACTTTCTCATTTGGTGTTTAGTTAAAATAATTCTACACAAGAAAAACCTATTATACGAATTGAACGATGCAATGGAAAGCATTGCAAATATCTATATAATATTTTCTAGGCTATAAAGTAACAATCACCGTACAAACAACGCTTCTGTATTAGAAAGGAAGACGGTTTTTTTGATAAAGACTACATAAGCGTTTAAAGGCGGTGGCAAGTTCATGGAAGAAAAATTCTAACGTAATTAATGGTCTACTGAATGAAAGCGATACAATAACGCTGACGGTGAAGAAAAATCGTAATCGTATAAATGAACATGAAATATTATTAAGAATTTAATTTGAACCATTACTTACGATCGATGTGCTATAAATAAGGGATCGAAAAGGCCGTAAACTATATAATAATAATAATAATAATAATAATAACAATAATCTGTTTCTGACTCTTAGACGAGCATATTTCGGAGTAAATCGAACAGGGGAAAATCTTAAAAATCTATGCCCAGATTGCGTTTATCTACTTTTCGAGACCATAATCTCAAAGCATGCTCAAATATTTTAAATCGAACGCTTTTCACTCTCATTTTCTACATAGGTGATCGTTTGAGAGAACTAATAGCAAATTGGTTAAATTACCCTTCCAGTATTTGTTTTTAGTCTCATATATGCTTATTTTTAGTTTCAAAATGTTTACTGTTACTAATTATTATCTGAATTGCTCTGTCTACTCGGTATCTTTCCGTTTACTTTCTGGTTCTTTACGGTTCGAAATCACGTACTGTTATATTAACATCAATAGTTAGAGGAAAAAAGTTCTCACAGAACAGAATCAACGCAAAGATAAGCATTTTGAGTGTGTGTATGTTGAAAGCACCACCAATGTTTCATGATAACTGGCGGGGCCATTAAATTTGAGACCAATTTAATGGCACAAATAAACTAGGCTAGTAAATACTCATACCTCAATAGAAAAATCATCAGTTCGTTTTGACGAATATGTTACCCGTTTTTCCCCTATGAAAACACAACGCGATGCAACCAACCTGAGGAGTTTTTCCTTCAGTACGTCTGATCTTGTACGCAAATTTGGGATCTCTTCGATATAACACACTAACTAACTAGCACGCGCTCCAATGTGTTAGACCTCACGATTACTTCGATGTAAGAACGCTTGTGACGCCAGCGGTATATTGACAATCGCACTGTGAGCTACATCTTCCATGCAGTAATGTTATGGTGACTTGCTAATTTCAGTATCACAAACTAATAAGAAGATTCTAGATCAATAACGAGATGATGCAACAGGTAGTGTCTTTTATTATTGTACAGCCTACATGACCATAGCCTAGAATGGAAAGTCGAAATTAATATTTTCGGGACTTTATCTCTACATTGATCACCTACATGAAGACGCCTCTTCATTTAGAGTTTAGTTTTTATTAGTGAGCATTGCGTTCATTCTGATCCGAAGTATTAACCATTCGAATCGCTGCGAAAGGATACTAAACGTATATTATAAATATCGACAACACGTTAAACCTATGCCATTAAAATGTAACTATGTGACTAAAAAATGTGGTTCTGTTTATACATGTTTTTACAGCTACTAGACCTCATTTTTACTCCACTATAGACATTTTCCGCTATACTTTTTAAATAACGTTCGGTATAACTCCAGCTTCAAATGTATCTCAACTTCACAACTAATGATATCTAAAAAAAGTGTAAAATGTTTACCTAGAAACGCCTCACAGTACGTGATCGAGTCTGCTGCGACGGCGTCGGCGATAATTTGCCGAAGGTTTGCACCTGCACGCAAATTGAACTCGCCACCGCTAAGAGCGAAGTATATTGACGTGAATAAGCACGAGTTGTTGGCGGGCACCGGTCGACGCAATAGGACCCCCTGACGAGACACTGAGTCATGTCGAACTTCTAGTGAGCTACTACCAATGTCAGAGCTCGCTAACAGGGACAGATGTCCGGAGGCTGCAGCTGGACCAACACTGTTATTAAGCTCGTCAATGGCGGGTTGCGTAGGCGCCACAGATGAGGGCACGCTAGCAAAGTTTTGCTGCCCATTGCCTTCGACAATGATCAACGTATCACCGGATCTTACGTGAGCTTGTTCGAGCGTCAATGACTCTTCGTTGAGCGTTAACGCGGTTGGAGGATAGCCCGATAGGACACGTCCTATCGAACCCCCGGACAATGACAGTAGCACCCCTTTAAGATCTGCTACGGTTGAATCTGATGTGAGACAATCTACTCGATGCTGTCCTTCCTTTGTGCGCACACGAAGTACGATTGGTTGGGAGGACATCGCTCTCTAGAGGAGATACCGTGAGCTTCTATGGGAACAACTAGAGTCTTCCAGAAATTAGCGAAAACAGTCGAGCTATTAACGGATAGTAAAAACAGAGCAACTCGTTGTCGAGATACTGACGGCCCAATATGTTCAAGAAGCAACTCTAGTTTTTAAGATGAGTCCACAAGAATGGTCACACACTTCGATAAATTAACGCATCAGCTTATTTAATGGCAGGCGAAATTATTGAACTAGTCGTTTTTTTCTTTTATAAGCGAATATTATAAACGATATTTTCTCCTTATTGAACTGAAAGGAGTAATCGACTTCCACTATGTATTTTCCTCTATATGCATTTCACGCAATAGGACAGGAGTTGAGTAAGACTGAGCCCCACCGCGCACAATTTCACCAGCAGCGCACTGTTTCCGCCTAATGTCACACTCTACTTGGAACCTCTTGTCCTTTCTGTAATCCGGGCTCGAAGTCCTGGAATTATTCAGCTAGTTTTAGACAAGGTGGCTTTTATTTTCTGGTTTATTTTTATGGTTGCCGTGTCCAATGCTCTCAGCAAGCTCTAATTCATCCTGCGCTTGTACATACGATCGGGCTTTCGTATCTCGACTGAGAGGTTCACGACGTTGTCATGAATGGGGGACAAATGGGAGATCGTTGGGGAGACGTCGTTACATTCGGGTACGTGGCACTGACAAATCTGTACACCGTAGTCATATAATATACACAAAGAACAAATATCCGTCACCCCAACCAGCTCTCACAGTCACGATTAAGCACTGCACCGCGATTCACTCTGTGTCCCTACGACTACTCGAGTCTCTCTCCGTGTGGGTGCAATGTGGACGACTACCAGGGTAATGTTGCACAGACCAACAGCAGCAATAACGCTCACTGACTCAGCCGACTAATACTAAAAACGACAGCTTTCTAATGAGATATTCGCAAAAGGTAAATGGAGGCCGCCATCTTGCATTCCCTGAAAGGGCGAAAATATAACGGGGAAAGGGCATTTGTTTGCGTTTGATCAGGCTCACTAGCACCATTTGCTCAGGTTTAGTCGCGACACCCCGTAAATTAGGCAGTTCATGGAAGTACCACCAGAGAGAGGGAGCAATTGGGGACCATATAGAGGATAGAGCTGGCGAAAACTAAAGGAAAATCATTGAAGGCAGACAAGGCTACCGTGTCTTTAAACAGACCAGTCGTTGTGTGGAGCAACCTGTCTGGACTCGAGAGTCTACCGGGGCAACGCTGCGCTCGCGGAGTTTTCGTTAGTAGTCGGGCAGTTGACCAGCAGCCAGCTGGTCTGGCGGCTAAACCCTTGTCTCATTATGTGAGCATGTGCATGCAAGATTGTATGCGAGTAAACGTTGCGTTCATGATTCGCGAGCTATTATATATTATAACAAAAGATTTAGTTTATGGGAGAATAAACTGTCGATAGTTGAGTTGTTCGGGTGCAAAAAATAACTGTTGAACGACAGCGGTTGTATGCTGGACGAAAACGGCGCATGGAGAATGATGCAGGTGCTATAAACAAAACGGAAAGACAAATCGAGTGCTCCCCAAGTGTAAAGGTGGCAATTGATTCGAATGTAAATTTGTGACTTGCGAGGCAATCGTGTCGAAAAAGCGTTTGTTGAAAACTATTAGATCACCCGTAAGATGTGTGAGTAGAACCCTGACGTCATCTTTAGATATATTTATCGCCTTACGAATTTTATTTTTAGCAAAAAGGATTAAAGTACGCTGTAGAAAAATTCGGATCTCCAGTTAAGCCTATGAAGCATATCTAATGTAAGTAATCTTTAGGTGATGCGTCATTAATAACCACTTTTTATCACTTGAATTAATATGCAAGCAGATAGCTATGAATATCACCAGGCAGCTGTGTTGGTTAGGTTTAAGATTTAAGCATCGGCTAACGCTAGGTAAATATGCGTGCTTATAGGGATAATAAATTATATTTCGACAAATACATTGTCAGTAGCTTCTGGACAATTTATAAGAGCGAACTGAGTGGTTTTCAAGAATCGGCCTGTGCCATGACTGGTTTATAACTGAAGCAGAAAGAAGACAATCGCGAAGAATCAGGCAGTATTAGTTAAAACCGTGTCCTAACCTGAAACAGTAACTGGATAACGAGACATATAGGCGAACGATATATTTCGCGGTCAAACTTAATCTAATTTACGATATTTTGATTGATCCTCAGCGCGGCGTAAACAGGCGCTTACATCAGTCAAGGATTTATCACCATTGCCGGAAATTGTTCCAGTTTCGGCCAAGCGAATTCGTCGGGGGGCTGCCGATCGGAGCAGAGAAAAGGTACCGTTTCCCAGAGAGATCGGACATGAAATGTAATCCGAACTAGTTTTGCTAACAAACCTATGAACACTGCTTCTGTGTTTGTTCGTACTTGTCCATAAGATCGAGAAAACTTCATGGTTTCTATAGAATTGTGTTCGACCAATAATCAATAATTCGCTTCACAATCACGAACGTTTTTGTGTGTTCCATGGCAGCTGACGCACTTTAGTGCCCTTGATCGTGCGTAGAAGTCGATCGGTGTGTACTAAAAATATAGGCACATCGTAAAATATTTGCAGGTAAAAAGCTATGTTCGTCTGCTTCAACGCAACATTTCGGAGGCTGACAAACAGAAGATTAATTTGCCGGCTAAAGGAATTGCTATTGGGGGGCGTGGCAAAGAAACGGGGCCCGTAAGAAAGCCCGGCGGAGGCCAACATCAGAGATCAACCAGCCCCGCTCAGGTAGTGACGATCACAATTCGAGATGACGATGGTAAACCAGCTAGTGCTACCCAGACTCTCAGTACTCCTTTGCCACAACCGCAAATGGTAAGGCAAAGAGCGAGTAAACTCATATTTATACAATTAAATGATGTGGCTTTTTTTGGCCTCGTTACAGAACCGGGCTAGACGGGTTCTTCAAAAGGGGACGTGGTTGTTTCACTGAAGGCAACGTATCATATTCTATTTAATAAAACATCGCATAATTTCCATTGTTCAAAAAAAAAAAAAGATTCACTACGACAATGGGAAAGTAAAAATGGAGTTTGCATATTAGCAGTGCCACACAAGTTGTTATGCTGATATTGGATTCGAATTCGTCTTAGTCAGTGTTCTCTAAGTGTGCATACGCAGAATGGTTTGCAGCCATGCTAGTTATCAAGCGTAATTGTCTCGGCTGTTTTCAGGCTCGCGCGAGACGTTCCGTGCGTCAGTACGTCGTGGTGGACTATTCGAAACTCCACTTCGGTTCGACGGAAGGACCCGAAGAAGAGGAAGGCCCCACACAAGAAAGAGGTTGTCATTTTCATCTATATATAGGGTTTTGCCGATAATTATGAGCTGACGATCTGAATAATATTTACATTAGCATATTATGCTCATTAGAAAATTTTAATGCTACGTTTTAATACTGTTTATTAGTATAACATCGATACAATTGGTCAAATGTTAGTTGTGTGACTTAAAGCACTTTTCATCTATCACTGTCAAGAGGTCAAGTCAAATATCCCATATTGCTAATAGGCATTGATTGTCGAACGTGAGTAAGGGTCTAACAGCTGAAGAACGCCTAAAATCGATCAGATAAATATAAAGCGAGAATGGATTTAAATACGTTTTGCTAGTTTCTTTAATCGTGTAATTTTTCCTGATTAGATTTCGTTCGGATTGTGACGGTCAGCGGAAGTGGAACTTTGTCGATCATTTTCCCCTTGACCTGAACGTAAAACACAATGACGCTTTATCTAACAAATAGAAATTGTTAATTTAGAGGGCTGGCAAACGGCGCCAAAGTTCGTACCATCAACAGGTAGCGGCCCACGAAGAGGGCGTCCTCTTAAAGTGAGCCCACAGACTATAAAAGCAGGTGGATCGAATTCTAAGCTTGGCACTAACGGTAGGTTAATTTAATCACTGCATTTTTGAAATTAATAAGAAATTATTAAGTAAGTTAAAGAAAAAACGAATTAAAATGATACGCTATTTACGTGTAGGATCTTAGACGTTTGTCGAAATTCTGATTGAAATGTGTATATAGTACTGATCCATAACTAAGACATCACGTACGTCGAGTTTGTGTATTCTTATTACAACTCATGAAATGAACGGAATTGCTTTTAGTTTACGTTTGACTCTAAACACTGAGAGAGCTTTGGATTTGTTTTATCCAAAAGGGATCGGCACCTTCATATGTCGCCGCTGTGATTTAGGACACGAGACTGTAGAGGAGTTTCTCAACCATTTCGAAGCTGCACATTGTCCAGATCTGACGGATGAGGAGTTTCGACAAAGGCTGTACAGTAATTCACATTTCTGCGGCCGGTGCGATTTCCGCACAACAGAAAAGGTTCCTGATAGTTTCGTTTTAGATAAAATCGGGGTGCCGGTATAGATGTCTATGAATGACTGATAAATAGTATTAGCTAATTGTTTGTTTTTTTTTACTAGTTTATTCATGAACGTAGCTAAGGGTACCGCTTGGAGGTCGAGCATTCGATTAGATTCACTGGTTAATACGTGATCGAAAGCTATCGCTCTTAAAAATCGCAATGTCGCGTATTAACTAAAGCCTGGTCGTTTGATTATGATTATTCTAGGCGGAGTTAGAGAGCCACGAGCAACAACATAATCTGCAACCTAATCCGTTAGTGTCCAAATGGCGCGGTCGTTACCATTGTCCCAACTGCGATTTCAGCGCCACTAATGCAGTCACTCTTACCCATCATAGTAAAACACATAAAAGGTCAACAGTTTTGAACGGAACAACGAAGGCGACTGAAAGCGTGGTTTTTACCTGTGCCGATTGTACAGCGCGCTTTTCCGATCGTGAGGACGTCCTTCGACATCAACAGCTGGTGCACGGCCGTGGTTCTCTGATAGATTTGTGAAAGTATCCACCAGCTGCTGCTGCTGGTGGAAACAACAAGCATTGCAACTTACGGCGAGAAACCTATTTTGGTTATAACTGTGCTAAACGGACGAGAATTAGCACATTGTTAGTGTGTCATAACGGGTCCTATGAAGATTTCACCTGATAAAGTAATTAGCGGAGTGCTGCGTAGGGAACGATGTAAGTTCGAGAAAGACTTGGTAAAACAGAAGAATCTGTAACATGAATCAAGCGGAGAAATTTTTTTTTTTACACACAAACTCGCTACCTACAAAAACTCTAAATACTATCCGGCAATTGCTCAGAGGATGCTACGCCACCACCGATTGAAGACGCTGTTGTTCGAAGCATTTGTCCGCTATAGAACGCTGTTATTAACGGACTATACTAATCACCGTATAATAAAGTGCTAATTCCCTAATATCTTGGATCGCCTATTCCATCGTCGGTGTTAGAGATCATTGAGTGGCGCAGCAAGTAACAACGAGCAAATAGGCAACGAAGCGAATAATATGGTCTTGGTTTTCAATTAGGAAAAGATGTTATCGTCTTACTGTAAAGATGGCAAATGTAGTCATTTGCAGCTTAACATGTTCCAAGGGAAAACTGTCCCGAAGTTTGTTGCCTATTTGATTTTCCCAGCATAACGATAAGGAAACGTATTCTACATTCTGATATTTCCCAGGAGGAACGCTTTCCCAGGACGAACGCTGTCCCAGGAGTGCAGTGAGACTATCGATAGGTATGATAAAGCATCGAAGACTAAATGAACATTAAAGTTTTTTTTGTATACCAATGTTTAACAAATGCAGCTATTATTACTGCGTGAACAAGTCCTCGGAATCACCTCCAGCCTAAAGGAGTTAAGGACCTATGCCCATTAGATGAGTTTTGGGATTTTTCCAACTCTCGTATGAAATCGCATGGCAAGCACTTAATTAAAGCTAAAATTTGAGCCAGCAATGGCCGTATGTTCCTGGTACGTACTCGGAGATACGTAGTGATCGGCCAGACTACACCGCTAACACCTGAACGTGTCGGTCCCTAAATATACTGCTATAGGTTTATGTTCTCCATTTTTCTAATGGTGAACTTGCATCTGAAAGGAGAGTTTGCACGTATACTTCAGTATCGGCGACGATCACGCGTCAAATACATGAATCTTCGATAACGTTTTCTAACCCCAGCTATGGTTTAACAGTAGATTGGACAAGCCACAACATGGTTTAATTATACGGCCGATTAGTTTCGTCAGTAGTGGAGAGGGAATATATTGAGTTTTTCTGTGCTGATATGAGTTTGAAAAAAAGTTTTGCTATATTTTCTAAAGCATAGAGTAAATAAAAAATACAAAAGTGTTATACTTAATATTAAAAAAAAAAATGCTATTATTTCCGTGCCATGTACAGTAAAAAGCGAAATCAATTAAATCGAACCTTACACCTGGGAAAACACATCGAACAAACTTTTAGTCTAATTCATAGATGATTATTAAAGAATAAATAAGTATTCCAAAAGTATTCCTTCGCCATATTCGTCCGTAACAAATGAATCCGTGAACAGGTTATCAATTGAAGTTACAAAACATGTTTCGAAGTATTGCTATTATTTTGAGGTTTAAGAGTCATGACCTTTAAAGCGTGCTGAAAAAACTGTACTTAGCGAAAAATAACAGTTCTTACAAGACACCGGCTTATTTAATAATGGCACATACGTTAAACAAGCTATATGCTCTATGGGCATGCTACTTCTCTACTCACACCGTAGGTCTTAGCGGAAAAAAGGAAAAAAAAAAACGAATAACGTTTTAGGTGGTTAACAATGAGCTGATGTTGACGTTGTTTTAGCATTCACTTACGTATGGGTTTACGTACGGAAGGTGTTCATTCGAAGACAAAAGTCGCATTTCTGCAACGAAGTAAGGTCCTCTTCAGTCTAATGATTTGCCTTGGTACCCTACTACGTTAAAAAGATGTCTGCTCTCTTTTTAGAGTCGAACTTACCACATTTGCAGGTCGTACCTGCAGCTTTTGCAGGCGTAAATCCTTCATTACGAAGATGAATAACAGACAGCGTAATAAAGTCGACACAAAAGACGAAGCACTTTCTGCATAGGGTTATGTTTCATAGTATTTGCTGAGATACTCCATGAACTGTTTTGAAATGTTCTTGCCTAGTTTCACAATTTCTTCATGATGAAGCTTAAGCTAGACCACTAACTAATGACATTTTCCATTTTGTGCCAATTTTTTGCGAGTCCGATTCACCTGAAACAATTCGGCATTATGTAAAACAGCTTTACACAATTAGTTGGCATAGGTTCGTTGAATGAGCCCAAGGATCGCATCATTCCCTCAAATGAAACATGTAATAAAATGTTTGATTTTTGTCATATAAGCTAAATGGCCACTGAATAGTGTCTATACCTGTAGGCTAAAAGTGTCCACGTGTCGTCTCTAGAAAATGAACAGAATAGAAAACACAAAGTACACAGAGAGCAGATCCGTACGAAGACGACGATAGAACGCTTCCACTGTTCCATTCCATTAGTCATGTTTCGTTGTCCCGTTTTTTTCGTCGCCCTTCATTTTCCTAGTAGAGAAATGGTAATAAACGGGACCAAACATTTTTGGATAAATGACTCAAAACTGTGCGGTAGTTGCGGTGGGACATGTAGAATGTCTCCCCTGGAAGAAAAAAAAATATTTTACTGTCATGATTATTATTCATCAAGACCATAAATTTTGCACCTAGGACTTTTTCTCAGATTAGTTAGTCTGAAAAATGCAATTTATCACTCATCTACTTGGTGAAGTTATTGAAGGTAAACTCTATTGCTTAAATTGCCCAGTGAGTATTAAAAAAAATAGCAACAATGTTAGTGTAATAAAAGGCGGGTTTGAAAGAAATAGCCGCTAAGCTCGAAACCATTAATAGACTTGTGAGTTTTCATGTTGCTTTTAGACATTTAGTTCATTTCATGTGACATTAGACATTTTCGATATAATTAATAAGTTAATTTCGGTATAAATGTACTCTAGTATGAGTATATAGATATTAAAGACGACTAAACGCCGTCTTGTCGTTTAGTTAATTGATAGCACCAAAACGAACGGCGCTGTCTCTTAAATCACGCTTTTTTTCACACTAAGAACATTTTCTTTCAGTTAAAACACAATGATTGATGTACAGCTGTCGTCGTCCCCCGTCCCCCACCTAACAGGTTGCTTAACGACGATAGCCTAATATGGCTTATGTGAACATGCCCATTTCCGCGTGCCTCACAACCGGCGAACTCTTTTTCACAAACGTATACGCGAACGCAACGGCTGTACATTATTTTTTCAATAATACATAAATAAGGCAGCAAATAGAAATACCATAATAACATCATATAAACAGAATGGCGGTAGTAACTCTGCACTGCGCGATACTCGAAATACGATCATCTGTGTGGCACTTTTAGTGTTTGAAAGATTGCCTTTTAGATATATTAGATGTCCTCTTTCTATACGCGTATACACGTTACTTGTATCTATTGGATATACACACAGCAACCCGATATATATGTATCGGATATCCATTGCAGACGTATTCATTATCGAGATTACTGTTTTGATCTAGACCTTTGAAAGCATCAGATTGTACCAATCCTTAGCGGATGCGTTTGCCATCATGTGATTCCGTACAATGTGTTCCATGTGAAAGGTGAAACACGCAAAAAGAGATCATTGGATATCGTTATGAATTGCTTATTTTGAAAAAATTCAATGATAGCTTCAGGTCGATATTTTGCTTTAGCAGGATCGGTTGTCCCCATTTCAATGTGTTTCAGTGTTCACATGAAAACATATGCTGTGGTAACATAATGGTAAACAATCAAGTCCTAGTGCTACACTCATATGGTCAACTGGGCCTATTCTACAAAGGACCTTATGATATAAGATGCCTTCTACTACCAATAAAGACACACGCGATTAGTTTTCTATGCCTACTATCGCTCTTTAAATTGCTTATTTTCGTTGAGATGCAGAATCCCGATACCGGTATCTCCATTATACTGGTCTATTATATCTTAGTTATCAATCTGCACTGATTTGATATTATCGTGTTGCCTCCACTATAAAAACAAAAAGTAGTTTCCAAAGCACGACGTTAAACTCTCGTTTTGTTTTTGGATAGCTGTCTGAACAAATGTTAGCCCTATTTTACGTATGTATAAAACTATTATTAAAGTTATATAAACTATTCTTTTAATGGGCACAAGTTTTGCTAATAGATTTGTCATAGTGGATTGAATAATCCCCGAAAATTGGTTTTTCCAGAATAAGTTTATCGAGAGCTTTATAATCACTTTACGTACGTTATATTTCTTACTGAACGCCCGATAAATGTTTACCAATGTACATGACTGATCAGCCAATCGTGCAGGTACCCCACTTAGACTGCCAAAGTTGAGTTTCAAATAACTTTCATCGTACAATGTTGTTCATTAGACCGGAGTGAAAGTCTTTGCCGAACGCCTTATTTCTGAGTAGCAGCATGCATTTTACGCAAAGATTCCTTAATTGTATTACTTATTATGATCCTTTATTGCGAGTGGGGCATACAATATACGTAAGTCTTTCATCCAGGAGCTGATTGCTTTCGCGCTTCCCAGCAAAAAAATCTTTTTATCTAGAATTGAAAATGCCTTAATTCTCAAATAAGCCTGCTTAAGTCTCAGATTTTCCTATTGTCCACAGTACTTAGGCTGGCTCTAATTAGGAAAAAGAAACTTGCTCTGTTCTTCCTACGCATGGTCTTTTTATTAAGTGATATTATCACTATTGTACTTGTGAATACATACAATAAACGCCAACAATAAGCGATGTAAATGCATACAATCGTGTCCTAATTCTTAGGACAGTTATTACCAATAACTTCCTTTTTTCGTTGTGATTTTTACCACTTCCTTAAGCAATTAAAGTCCGATACGACAAATGATAAAAAAAAAAAGTTTATAAAACCCGACCTTTATAACGTGCCGTAGTATTTCTGGTTTGTCCTTTTGGCCCTAAGATGTAAGATACTTCCCGTGCATTTTTGAAATTCGTCCTAAAAACGAACTTCATAACCATAATGGTGATCTGCTTTTAACGTTTACATCTGGGCAAGTGACGCCCTCATATACTGCTTATTGTGTTTTAGTTACACAACACTTACGCATATTACACACAAAACCTCTTTTAACAGACATTTCGCTAATGCTGAGTCATATCAGAACTCGAGTTACGACTAAATATATAGTTCATAAGCTATGTACTTTGTTTGCCATAGCTTGAAAGAGGCTTGGCGCCAGTCGTTCTGCGCACAAACGGAAAAATCGTTCCGTCTGAAGACTGTTGTTGCCGTTAACACAGCCCCCATTGACTAAATGACTGTTTTGTGTCCGTCTGTAAACATTTGCTATTTCTTCAATCACTCGATCGACGGTCCACCCGATTGCCTCAAGTTCAGCAACTGTAACTTCGGTTCCGCCGGACATTGAGACGTTCTCCAAATGTTTAAATAGCACCGGCAGAAATCCTATGTTGAACAAGATAACAAAACACGTCAGAGTTATTTATTTCAATCACCCATCAATGACGTATCCATCATGAATAAACATTTTGCCGACCCGCGTTTGGGAAATGTACCTTTTATTTGTTCTTCTTTGATTTCTATGCAATACGAAAGGGAGTGTGAATCATGCTATCTATTTTTTTGCAGTGGATATTAACAATGATAGTGCAAGGAGGCCGTTAGGCCCTATACGAGTCAGTTAAGCAAATAGGCCGATAAATTATTCTCCTGATATAATATAATGATGTACCTAATGTTGCGATTTAACCGCTGGATGTTTCCGTCATCATAGTAGCTACTGATACCGCTGGTAAATGACTTCTTAAAAAATTAACAATACGTCAAAGCCATTTTCTTTCTTCATTTCTACAAGCCATTAGGGTTATGGTATAAATCACCAATTGGGCGAGAATTTAACATGAGCACGTTAAAAGACACGATCGCCAAAGACCTGGGTGATAAAAAATGAACCATTTTCCCATGTTTGTTCCGTTATTCCATTATTTTTCTTTAAAAACTCCCTTTTCGTCTTAAAGGATTCATGATCTTTTATTAAAAAACGTGGTGTCCCACGTGGAAGTCTCATTCTGCACACCAAGGTTGAGCAAACACTTACCAGATTTTTTCCAGAGCTCTGCCCGTGTCCCCGGAGCCACCGTAGTGGACGTGAAGCCTTCATTATGGAGATTAACTCTAGGCTTCGAAAAGATAGCTTCTGCGATAGTGAAGCAGACAGCAATATCTGTCCGCTCCAAGAAGAACACCTCAAGAGCTCTGCGTATCATCCTATAGAATTCCGTTACCTTTTGCCAAAGCGCGCTGCCGAGTTCAACCATCTGCTCATAGATAGGCGTCAGTAGCGGACACATATCGCATAACCAGCTAACACAGTTCCCCATTACGTATTTGAAGTTCGAATCGGCTGCTAATGTAAAGCGGTCTCGCTTCGCCTGTCCGACTTCCTATTAAGGGTGACATTAGTCTAATTTTACTTAACTCCATTTTTACCAACGGTCTTCGGCTATAAAAATGGTTGTATAACAACTTGGATCAGTATTCAGTCACGCAAACTGTAGCCAGCATCGTTGACTCTTTTAACCACCGCTGCTCTGTTACAAATAGATAGACAATCTAATAAAGGTCTTGTCTTCTAATTATTTCTAAAGCCTTCTAACTATGTAACGTATGAATCAGAATGATTTGAAGAAATTCTTAGAACGGTGTCCATTTATCCAGTACATATGATCAATCCTACTTTTAACAGTTCTTTGGTAGTCGAACTTCCATATTCAGTTAATGAGGATAAACGAGTCTGATCACAGTAAAAATATCCTATAAAATACTAAGAATTTTGGCCAATAGCAATTTTGGCCGTAGGACGTATACATAAGTAACTGTACACGCTAATGGTTAAACGCAAAATCAGTATTGCAGTATCACATATAAAGTTTCTCCATTCAACCAGCTTTGAAACTAATAGCACAAAACCATTAATCGAGTCTAGTTTGAAGGTTTGCCTGGTTCTAACGGAGTTAGTTGTACTATTCTGAAGGCCTCTGTGCCAGCAAGAGTACGCCATTTTGAATACTATCAAGTTAGTAAGACTGTTTCAAGCAGTTCTTTGCGAATAGGCACTCGACTGCACTATGAGACGAAAAACTCTATTTACCTACAACACTCCTTACCCTAGTTTATTGATTCGACGCGCTGTTCACGGACACTAATGTCATACAATGCCCGGCGGCTTTTGTCGCACACAAATGTCTGCTTTGAAAGATCGTCCCCTAATCAGATTAGCCACTCACAAACGTGCAGTGGTATCGTAGCTCAAAGACACTGCATGCGATCATTAAATCATTGACAAAAGTTGGACATGGTTACCACATAAAGTCATGTTGGTTCACTACTACAGGATATTGCATCGTCAAAAACTTAGTGATGTAAAAAGAATTTTTCTCACAAGAACCTGATTCGGTCTTCGCATACACGTCGCAAGCAAAATATATAAATTTTTACATTCCCTTACTCGGTTTTCACTGAGGGCCTTTTTGTGTGATCTAAGGCTAGGGTAAAATCGCAGTCTTGGAGAGTAAATCATTGGTGATGATGAGCCGTACTTGTGACATATAGCTGAACATCGATAGATACAGGTGTTGCAGGAAGGGACCTCAGCCCGATTAGAGTATATGATACATTCAAATAGACCATGCTTAGCTAATTGACAATGGACGGTTGGTACTAGCATGTGAGCTGAATCAGTCACGCAATCCCATGCAGATAGTATGAATGTATTGTTTGTGACGTCCCCATTATACACTGCCGCAGGTGACAGCAAACAATATGCGTATATGTGACGAATATAGACGACATTATTAAATAGTTCGAAGTTCAGTAAGCAAAATACGTTACTGCTAAATCTTCTCATGGCTACAGTCTATCAGCTTATTAGAGTGTTTTAGACAGCACGTCAGAAGGAATAGGCGACAACTCAGAGAACGATTGTCTATTGGTTCGCTCCAATGCGTACCTTCCTTGACCTCTTGAACGTTTTTGGGCGCTCGCATTTCTGGGACTTTTGGCCTATGATTAGCCCAGAATTTGACTCCGCTGGAATTTTTGTATGTAGCGTACTTAAACGACAATTAATCAAGTTTATACCTTTTAATATCGTATGGCGCGCATTTGCTGTAAAAAAAGACCTTCTCGAATTAAAAAAGGAATATTTGAGTAACAACAAATGAGTTGTTTTGATCCCGACTTGAAGCTGTAATGGCGGTCAAGGGTGATTATATTGGACAAACATGACTGTCAAAAATGGCGCCTTTACCAAACGTAAAAAATGCATAATCTGGTTGTTTTTTTTAGGTATAGTTTTAGACACAGCGCATAAGAAGAAGTCCTAATTCATATGCCGTATTTTGAACTTTGTAAGACATTGACTTTTTTGACTAAACTATTTATTTTGATTTTAAATGATCATTATTATTTTTATTACCATCATGACTTCCGGGACTAGCCGGGACAATAGGCCGACGGGTTTACTATTGCATAGTACAGCCGATTGTCTATTACTTTAATTAATGAAAACAATTCACACTGTGAGGCCATCGTATTCTGTTGAATGGGAACATACATTGTGTTTTTCTGCTACTAAAGTGGTGTGGTTGCATTTAATTAGTTTTACACGTGTACGCAACAAGATAGACCTACTTATGTGAAATCACGACTCGCTCGCGCCTTCAGCACGAATTTCTTTATATGAGTCTAATATAACATAATAAGTTAGACTATATGTCGTACTGCAGTGTGTAATTGATCGGTAATAGTTTTGGACCATTAATGAATTAATCGTTGAAGGTCACAACCAAAAATGTAATCAAGTATCGAACACATGTACTGCTGTTACCACCGTCGATAACAGTCATAGTATTCTAAAATATAAAATAAAAAGACTCTTAAACCTTTTCCAGAATACTCTGCTTAGAGACGAGTTATTTTTCTGAGGCTGAAAAGATACGACAGCTACGAGTTTTGGCCTAAATAACATTTTATCAACCGGCTGCTTCTATTAATTAGGTCCTAGCTTGATTTTTCGGCGGGGAAGGCCGACATCTCAGCGACGTTCGTGGTTCGAGTAAGCTAAGCCAGTGTGTTCTAATAGTCACTTGAAAAAGAGGGTCAACATCTTGGCCTTTTGTTTAGTCTGTTTCCAAGCCAAGACATGTTACAATATGTCAACCATTTCCCAACTTCTAAAATACGTACGTGGATCGAGCCGATCTTCGATTAGCTTCAAATGGGCTAAAATAATTAGAGAATTCGATTGTTAAACGGATAACATCAGCAGCAATAT